CTGCCCAAACCGAAACTAAGCCTTGCAAAACGAACTTTAAGGTATTCGGGCTCAGCTCTTTTTAACCTTTTACCTCGTTGTATTCAAAACGCCGAGTCACTTTCTTCCTTCAAAGTTTTAATTAATACCTACAAATTTTAAAATTTTATTGACACTATATTCTTGTAAACTGTTGCATGTTTGCTTATACCTTTACTTATAAATACTTTTTGTATTTTTAAATTTTATCCTGTATTTTCAGCTATCAAGATGTCTTGTATTCTTAACTATTGTAATTTTTTTACTCCAGGGCCCCTCTGGATATCAGCCTCGTTGCTGAATGGGCCACCCTGGCTAAATAAAGTTCACTTACACTTACTTACTTACTTACTTACTAGCTTTTAATTCAGTGATCCATCCCTCTACTCCCAGTTACTTCTATGTGAATCCAAAAGAGATGGAGGCTAACTCGATAACCTCGCGGTTTTCTTAGCCTCCACGCACGAACTATAGACCACTGTTACCTTTAATTTTTTTTACATATGTATCCTTTCCTGTCTTTTATGTTAATATTGTAACTAAAACTCGAGTGCTAAATAAAGTAAAGTTGTAAAGTTTTCATATGTCCTTATATTAACATTTACCATTTAAAATTACTATAATTTATAATATCTACCACTTACATTAACCATGTGTCTGTGAAATGATTTTGTAAGTGGTGGAATGTTGTTCTTCTTGGTGAAAACAGCCGGCCCGCCTTCTTTTGAGGTTTCCTAAAAGAACAGTACAAAGTAACTTAATATTCTTTGTTGCAAGAATAAATGGAATTTTTATGCAAATGCAATTATAACAGATAGATACAACACAACTCTATTTTACCCAAATTTACAGCCTTTCAAAAGCAGGTCTCATTTAAAAAATGTAAACAAAAATATTTCAACAACCCACAATTTTTTGCCCTGCAAGTAAAGAACATTGTGGTGAAAACCTCTATTATTTTTTAACCCTTGATCTCTTAGAGCGACAAACATCTAATTATAATATCATATCTCCTAACATCCATCACCCATGAATCACACATTAGGCAGGGCTCTACACTAACTTTTAAAATTACGAGCCGAGTGGCTGGGGGAAATCTTAGATGCTATGACAATTTCAGTTTGTTTACTAGCCAAACTGGCTGGGAGCAATTGAAAACCACAAGCCAAAACTGAATTTTATCCAGTCTGTGGCTAGTTGGCTACCCTAAGTGTCAAGCCCTGATTAAGGTCACAATAATAAAGGAAATGACTACCAAAGAAACTACTGATTGTTAAAAAAAATTCTCCTTGTCAGCATCTTACCAAATACAGAGAGAACAGTTGGGAGAAGATACATAATGATGTTGGGGTATAAATGGTTACCCGTGTGTTACTGCCTTACCTTACTAGCAATGAGGTAAGGTGGGACAATTTCAATAGTCTGTTCTTCAAACATCTGTCGGCACTGGGCGGTGATGAAGTCCCCAGCTAAAGGAGACTTCACAATTGCTTGCTGAAGAACATATCCATCATGAACGGGTACAGCACTCGTCTGTGTTGCTCCAGAATCTATGACAAGTCCAGTGGATCTACCATTTGCAAATGCTGTAAGCACTGCACTTTTGCACAGAAAGAATGCTGGGATATTGTACTTTTCAAACATCAGTTCTGTGAGTTTCTCTCTCTTTGCACGAACATTCCACTGGAAAAAAAAAAAATATAATGAAGCCAAGAAGAAACATGGTTGGTATTGGCGAGAGTAAGTTTTACACTCGAGCACACTTGAGTACACTTGAGTTTTACAACCAAAGCCATTTGGTACATAAACAGATCAACAGTTTCACAATAAATCTGACTTACTGAAGCTTCTGACATAACCACAGGGTGAAGGGCTGATTCAGACTTGATGTCCTTTGCATACATGTAATCCAACAGTTTCTCAAATGTATCCCAATCTTCAACTTCATTGAAAAACAACAAAAAACAATCAAACCAAAAACACTTGTAATGCAATAAATGAGTTGTATACCATAATGTAAGTATTGTAACACAATATATGTAGAGAATTCTGTGTAAGTATTGTCAATGTAGTTATTATGTAAGTAGTGTTGTTTGTGTGGTTATAATTTGAAAAAAAAAA